ATTGTTCATGATTCTTCGAATTTCACATCTATTGAAGTCATTGATGATTTTGAGGTACGTGATAGTATACAATATGCTCATGTCTTTAAATTTATTTGTAAAGAGTGTCCTTTTGATGATCGTAAATTTGTAGTATTTCTTATTGATATGAAATTCTACAAAAGGAAAATTGGCACAAAAGGGAGGAAAAGTGACAGGAAGGAGAGAGGAGGAGGAACAAGGGGAGAAGGAAATGATACAAAAGGAAGTAGAGGGCGAAGGAGATAGAGGAGAAGGAGAAGCAGATGAAGGAGGGGAGAAGAGAAGTCACTCGAAAGATCAAAATTTATGGTGACTCCAAAGAACATCGGTGACTTGAGAGGAATGGAAAGTAAAATAGAATCACATAAAAAAACAGCAATGACTCCATAAAACCATAAATTTACGGTGTGTATAGAGATATATATATATATATATATATATATATATACATATATACTTATAGAGAGAGATTTAGAGAGGGAGAAAGGCAAAATTGTACAATGGGCGATCACATTAGGAACTATGTATTTCTTGGGTCTGTGATGAATGGAGACTCATAATCCCTAAATACCCTTAAGACCCGTCAATTTGCTCAGAGGTGATGTCGCTACTGGAAGATAACGTAATATCTATTTTCAGTTGCTGAGCTTTATAAAAGGCTACAAATTTGAACTCCCTTTGAAGCTAAGATTCCCTAGGAGAAGGAGGAGAATAAGGAGTACAATGAGAAAGAGAAGGATAAGAGTGAAAAAGAAGAAGAGAAATAAGTAGGAGGAAGGAAAAGGAGAAGGAGAATGAGAAGAAACAAAAGGAAGGAGAAGAAATGGAAAAAGGAAGAGGAAGAGATGCTAAAGATGAAGGAGAAGGAGAAGGAGAAATAGAATAGAAAGAAGAAAAAGAAGAAGAAGAATGATGGAGGAGAAAGAGCTGGAAAACAGAAAGAGAAAGAGAAGGAGAATGAGGAAAATCGGCAAGAAAAAGAATGGAGGAGGAAATATAACAAGGAGAGAGAAGAAAGAGAAGGCTAAGGTGGAGGAGAATGATGATGAAGAAGAAAAAGGAGCAAAAAGAGAAGGAAGGAAAGGGAGAATGAGGAGACACAAGAGAAAAAGTAGGTGAAGGAGGAGAGAAGAGAAGTTACTCGAAAGATGAAAATTATAGCAACTCTAAGGAGCATTGGTGACTTGCGAGAAACGAAAAGTAAAACAAAATCACATAGAAAAATAGCAATGATTCCATAAAACCATAAATTTATAATGTGTATAGAGATATATATACACATAAATACTTATAGAGAAAGGGAGAAAGGGAAAATGGTGCAATGACAGATCACATTGGGAGCTGCACATTTCTTGGGTTTGTGACAAACTTACAAGCTTGCTCTGACGATTCAACAAATACTCACAAGTCTTAAATGCTCTAAGACCCATCAATTTGTTTGGAGGTGATACCCTTTGACTGGAAGATAACGTAGATACCCTTCCAGTTGCTAATCTTTATGAAAGGCCCTAAATTTGAATTTCCCTTGAAGCTAAGATTTCTCAGTAAGAGAAGAAGAATAAAGAGGAGAATGAGAAGGAGAAAAAGGAGGAGGATAAGAGTGAAGAATGAGAACAAGAGGAGAAGAAGAAAAAGAGATACGAGGAGGAAAAGGAAAAGGAGAAGAATGAGAATGAGAAGAAACAGAAGGAAAGAGAATGAGAAGCAAGAGGAAAAGTAGGGGAAAAAGGAGAAGAAGAAGTACAAGGAGGAAGAGATGCAGAAGATGAAGGAAAAGGATAAATATAAACGGAGGTGGAAGAAGAAGAATGAGGGAGGAGAAGGAGCAGGAGAGCAAAAAGGAAAGGAGAACGAGGAGAAGAAATAGGAAAATCGGCTGGAAAAAGAGGGAAGAGGAAAATTGACATGAAGGAGAGAGAAGGAGGAGAAGAATGATTAAGAAAGAGAAGGAAAAGGAAGAGAAAGAGTCGCATGAGGCAGGTGAAGAAGGATAGAAGAGAAGTCACTCGAAAGATCAAAATTTATGGCGACTCTAAGAAACATCGGTGACTTGTGAGGAATAGAAAATAAAATAAAATCACATAGAAAAAGAGCAATGATTCCATAAACCATAAATTTATAAGGTGTATACACATAGATACTTATAGAGAAAAGGAGAAAGGGAAAATGGTGCACAGAGAGATTACATTAGGAACTACGTATTTCTTGGGTCTCATAGGCTTGCTTTGACGATTCAACGGAGACTCGTAAGTCCAAAGTGCTCTAAGACAGGAATATAATGTAATATCTCCGAGTTGCTCAACTTTATGAAAGGCCACAAATTTGAACTCCCCTTTAAGCTAAGATTCCCTAGGAGCANAAGAAAAAGAGATACGAGGAGGAAAAGGAAAAGGAGAAGAATGAGAATGAGAAGAAACAGAAGGAAAGAGAATGAGAAGCAAGAGGAAAAGTAGGGGAAAAAGGAGAAGAAGAAGTACAAGGAGGAAGAGACGCAGAAGATGAAGGAAAAGGATAAATATAAAAGGAGGTGGAAGAAGAAGAATGAGGGAGGAGAAGGAGCAGTAGAGCAAAAAGGAAAGGAGAACGAGGAGAAGAAATAGGAAAATTGGCTAAAAAAAGAGGGAAGAGGAAAATTGACATGAAGGAGAGAGGAAGAGGAGAAGAATGATTAAGAAAGAGAAGGAAAAGGAAGAGAAAGAGTAGCATGAGGCAGGTGAAGAAGGATAGAAGAGAAGTCACTCGAAAGATCAAAATTTATGGCGACTCTAAGAAACATCGGTGACTTGTGAGGAATAGAAAATAAAATAAAATCACATAGAAAAAGAGCAATGATTCCATAAACCATAAATTTATAAGGTGTATACACATAGATACTTATAGAGAAAAGGAGAAAGGGAAAATGGTGCACAGAGAGATTACATTAGGAACTACATATTTCTTGGGTCTGAGACGAACTCATAGGCTTGCTTTGACGATTCAACGGAGACTCGTAAGTCCAAAGTGCTCTAAGACACGAATATAAGGTAATATCTTCGAGTTGCTCAACTTTATGAAAGGCCACAAATTTGAACTCCCCTTTAAGCTAAGATTTCCTAGGAGCAGAAGAAGAATAAGGACAATAAGAAGGAGGAGGAGAAGAAGAGTAAGGACAATTAGAAGAAGGAGAAAAAATAGGAGGATAAGAGTAAGGAGGAGAAGAGAAAGAAGGAANCCGAGTTGCTCAACTTTATGAAAGGGCACAAATTTGAACTCCCCTTTAAGCTAAGATTCCCTAGGAGCAAAAGAAGAATAAAGACAATGAGAAGGAGGAGGAGGAGAAGAGTAAGGACAATGAGAAGAAGGAGAAAAAATAGGAGGATAAGAGTAAGGAGGAGAAGAGAAAGAAGGAAAAGGAAAAGGAAAATGAAAATGAAAAGACATAGGATGGAGAAAGANTTGGCTAAAAAAAGAGGGAAGAGGAAAATTGACATGAAGGAGAGAGGAAGAGGAGAAGAATGATTAAGAAAGAGAAGGAAAAGGAAGAGAAAGAGTCGCATGAGGCAGGTGAAGAAGGATAGAAGAGAAGTCACTCGAAAGATCAAAATTTATNAAGGAACAGAAAGAGGAGCATAAGGCAGGTGAAGAAGGATAGAAGAGAAGTCACTCAAAAGATCAAAATTTATAGCGACTCTAAGAAACATCGGTGACTTGTGAGGAATAGAAAATAAAATAAAATCACATAGAAAAAGAGCAATGATTCCATAAACCATAAATTTATAGGGTGTATACACATAGATACTTATAGAGAAAAGGAGAAAGGGAAAATGGTGCACAGAGAGATTACATTAGGAACTACGTATTTCTTGGGTCTCATAGGCTTGCTTTGACGATTCAACGGAGACTCGTAAGTCCAAAGTGCTCTAAGACAGGAATATAATGTAATATCTCCGAGTTGCTCAACTTTATGAAAGGCCACAAATTTGAACTCCCCTTTAAGCTAAGATTCCCTAGGAGCAAAAGAAGAATAAAGACAATGAGAAGGAGGAGGAGGAGAAGAGTAAGGACAATGAGAAGAAGGAGAAAAAATAGGAGGATAAGAGTAAGGAGGAGAAGAGAAAGAAGGAAAAGGAAAAGGAAAATGAAAAGACATGGAAGGACGCAGAAGGAGAAGCAAGAGGAAAAAAACAGGGCAAGGTGGAAGATATGCAAAAAGATGAAGGAGAATGAGAAATAGAAGAGGAAGAAAAAGAAAAAGAATGAGGGAGGAGAAGAAGAAGGAGAAAGAGGAAAATCGACAGGAAAAAAAGGAAGGCGGGAAAGCGACAGAAAGGAGAGACGAGAAAAAGAAGGAAAAGGAGGAGGAGAAGATTAAAGAAGAAGGAAGAGGGGTAAGAGGAGAAGGAGAGGGAGAAAGAGAAGTANAAGGTGTATACACATAGATACTTATAGAGAAAAGGAGAAAGGGAAAATGGTGCACAGAGAGATTACATTAGGAACTACATATTTCTTGGGTCTGAGACGAACTCATAGGCTTGCTTTGACGATTCAACGGAGACTCGTAAGTCCAAAGTGCTCTAAGACACGAATATAAGGTAATATCTTCGAGTTGCTCAACTTTATGAAAGGCCACAAATTTGAACTCCCCTTTAAGCTAAGATTTCCTAGGAGCAGAAGAAGAATAAGGACAATAAGAAGGAGGAGGAGAAGAAGAGTAAGGACAATTAGAAGAAGGAGAAAAAATAGGAGGATAAGAGTAAGGAGGAGAAGAGAAAGAAGGAAAAGGAAAAGGAAAATGAAAATGAAAAGACATAGGATGGAGAAAGAGAAGCAAGAGGAAAAAAACAGGGCAAGGTGGAAGATATGCAAAAAGATGAAGGANAGGAAAATGAAAAGACATAGGATGGAGAAAGAGAAGCAAGAGGAAAAAAACAGGGCAAGGTGAAAGATATGCAAAAAGATGAAGGAGAATGAGAAATAGAAGAGGAAGAAAAAGAAAAAGAATGAGGGAGGAGAAGAAGAAGGAGAAAGAGGAAAATCGACAGGAAAAAAAGGAAGGCGGGAAAGCGACAGAAAGGAGAGACGAGAAAAAGAAGGAAAAGGAGGAGGAGAAGATTAAAGAAGAAGGAAGAGGGGTAAGAGGAGAAGGAGAGGGAGAAAGAGAAGTAGGTGAAGGAGGAGAGAAGAGAAGTCACTCGAAAGATCAAGACCCATCAATTTGCTCGAAGGTGATGCCTCTTGACTGGAAGGTAACTTAATAGCCCCTTCAAGTTGTTGAGCTTTATGAAAGGCCATAAATTTGGAGTCCCCTTAAAGCTAACATTCCGTAGGAGGTGAAGAAAATAAGGAGAAAAATGTGGAGGATAAGAGAAAGAAGTGGAGGAAGAGGAGAAAAGAAATGAGGAGTAGGAGAAGGAAGAGGAAGAGTAAGGGAAGAAGGAGAAATAGAAGAGAAAGAAGAAGAAGAGGAGAAAGAGAAGGAGGAAATAGGAAAAACAAGAGGAAGAAGGTGGGAGGAGAAAGAGGAAGAGGAGGAGGAGAAGGAAAAAAGAAGAAGAAAAAGTAGCAGGAAAGTGGAAAAAAGAGGAAAATCGGGAGGAAAAAAGAGGAAATTGATGAAGTTGAAGTTGATGGAGGAGGAAGAAGAAGAAGAATGAGGAGGGAGGAGAAGGGAAAGAGGAGTAGGAAAATCAGAAGGAGAAGAATTAGAGGAACAATGAGAAGGAAAAGGAGAAGGTGAAGGAGGAGGTGAAGAAGGACGGGGAAGAGGAGAAGGAAGAAGAAGAAGTTGTCTCCTCTATGCTTAAATGTTGCTCGAAATTGACGTAGAAGAAGGGAGGAATTGGAGGAGGAGGAAGGAAGGAAGAAAATTCCAACTAGGCTGACATCTACTCATTTATCTATCATTTGCATTACTCTACCCTTTAAAACTTATATGCTTAATACATGAAAAAAAATAATATATTATTTATAATATCTAAATTTTTAAAATTTCAAATTCCGATCTTGGGAGACTTATTTTGAAATTTCAAATTTAATGGTTTTAAAGTATAATTTTTTTTTTCAAGGAATGGTAGGCGAGTGGGTTTTTGGGCTAGGTAATGAGTTTGGGGGCAAAACCAAGCCCTCTGTTTAAGGATATTGGATTCGGGCGGGCCAACTATCGGGCCTATCGGATTTTAGACCTAGTTTTTTGGGCCGGATAACGGGACCTGTGGGTAACCTGGCCCATGGACACCCCTAAATTGGGAGAAAAAACAAAAAAGAAGAAGGAAAATAAGGTGTTGGAGGAGGAAATGCAAGAGAAAGAAGGAGGGAGGAGAAAGAGGAGGACAATGAGAAGGAGATGGAGTAGAATGAGGAGAATGAAGAAGAAGAAGTTGTCTCCTCTATGCCTAAATGTTGCTCAAAATTTATGTAGAGAAGGGAGGAGTTGGAGGAGGAGGGAGGAAAATCAAAAAGAATGAAAATGAGGAAAAACAAGAGGAAGAAAGGAGGAGGAAAACGAGAAAGAAAAGAATGAAGAAGAAGGAGGACGACAACAACGAAAATGAGAAGAAAAAATAGGAAGAGGAAGAGGAATAGGAAAAAGGAGGAGAGAAAAGGAGCATTAGAGGGGAAAGAGGAGGAAAATCGGGAGGAAAGAGGAAATTGACGGAGTTGGAGGAAGGAGGAGCAGGAGAGGGGAAAGAGGAGGAGGAAAATTGAGTGGAAGGTGGGAAAAGGACAAAGAGGAAAAAAAGAAGGAGAAGAAGAAGAAGTTGTCTCTTCTATGCCTAAATGCTGCTCGAAATTAACGTCGAAGAAAGGAGGAGTTGGAGGAGTAGAAAGAGAAGGAAAAAGAAGAAGGAGGAGGAGTAGGATGAGAGAGGGAGAAGGAGAAAGAGGAATAGGATAGGGAAAAAAGAGGAAAATTGGGAGGGGGGAGGAAAAAGGAAAAGCAATAGAAAGGAGGGAGGAGAAAGAGAAGGACAAGGAAAAGGAGGATGAGGAGGAAGGAGTAGGAAAGGGAAAGAGAAGGAGAAAATTAGGAGGAAGGAGGAAAGTGATGGTGTTGGAGGAGGAAGAAAAAGGAGAAAAAAGGAGGAGGAAGAAGAAGAAGGGAAGAGGGAGGAGAAGGAACAGGAGAAGGGAAAGATAAAGGAGGAGGAGGAGGAGAATAAAGATAATGAGAAGGAGAAGGAGAAGGAGAAGGAGGACGAGGAGGAAAAGAAAGAATAAGTTGTCTCCTCTATGCCTAAATGTTGCTCGAAATTGACGTAGAAAATTGAAGGAGTTGGAGGAGGAAGAAGAACGAGGAGGGAGGAGAAGTTGGAAGAAGAGGAGGAGGAAGAAGAATGAGGAAGATAGAGGAAAAAGAGCAAGAGAGAGGAAAAAGGAAGAAGTAGGAGGAAGAAGGAACTGTAAAAGGGAAAGGGAAAGGAGGAAAATCGGGAGGGAGGAGGAGGAAATTGACGGGTTAGAGGAGGAAAAAGAAAAGAAGAAAATCGAGAGGAAGGAGGAAATTAACGAAGTTGGAGGAGGAGGAGGAAGAAGAAGAAAAAGGAGGGAGAAGGAGCAAGAGAGTGGAAAAAAAAGGAGAAAGAGGAGGAAGACGGAACTGGAGAGGGGAAAGAGAAAAGAGGAAAATCAGGAGGAAGGAGGAGGAAATTGACAGGGTTAGAGGGGGAAAGAGAAAGGAGGAAAATCGGGAGGAAGAAGGAGGAAAATGTCGGAGTTGGAGAAGGAGGAAGCAGAAAAAAAAGGAGGGAGGAGAAGGAGCAGGGGGAAAGAGAAGGAGGAAAATTGGGAGGAGGGAGGGAGGAGGAGGAGAATAAGGAGGATGATGAGAAAGAAGGAGAGTGAGGAGGAAAAGAGGGAGGAAAAGAGGAGGAGAAGGAAAAGGAATGAAGAGGAAGAAAAAAGGCAACCTTTGGACCATATATTTTAAACCCAGCCTGGAAACCAACCCGGCAAGGGAATTGGGTCAATGGGTCAGTAGTTCAACCGGCCATACAATAAGGAGGAGGAGGATGAAAAAAATGAGAAGAAGAAATAGGAAGAGGAGAAGGAAAAAGAAGGAAAGAGGAGGAGCAACAAAGGGGAAAGATGAGGAAAATCGGGAGGAAGAAGGAGGAAATTGACAGAGTTGGAGGAAGGAGGAGGAGGAGAGGAGAAAGAGGAGGAAAATTGAGAGAAATGAGGGAGGAGAAAGAGAAGGAAGAGGACGAAAAAGGGAGGAGAAGGAAAAGGAGAAGAATAAGTTGTCTCCTCTGTGCCTAAATGATGTCTATGTTTTTCAAATTAACCATGTTGATGTATCCACATTGTGATATTGTGTTGCATTCGTATCTAGTTTCCATTCATGTACCATATCGAGAAATCCATGAAGCCATAAGTATTTTTTTCTTGGGGAAGGAGGAGCCATAAGTTTTTTTTCCGTGCATGTATCCATAGCGAAAAATTCATATCTATTATTGGGTTTTATTTTATTCTTGGTAAGTTGCATGCATTTCTCTTTTAAATTGAAATAATGTTAACTAGAGTGCATTTGGGGTTTGGGGTTTTAGTTTTTGAGGTTTACAGTTTAGGGTCTAGGGTTTAGTCAGCAGTAGCCATTTCTAGAGAGAGAAGTTGTCCTTCTCTTTACCCCTTGCACCAAAACTCATAAAGTTTTATCCAATTCACCATATGGTTCCTCCAAAACCCCCAGATATAATAAAAAACTTTGTTTTTTTTATTCAAAAACAATTCAATTCCATCTAATCATCAACAACAACAAAGCAGGGATGTAGAGAGTATCGTAGGACCTAAACCAACAATGGTGAATAGTAATTGTGACTATTTAAATAGATAACGACCACGCCTATAGGATAGGAAATGATGAAAGTCATAAAAGAATAGAAAAAGAGAATAATTAATTCTATATTGCTGGTTCTTATAAACGCGTCTAACAAAATTATAGTGATAAGTAAATATAACAACAATTTTTTTGCCATGGGCATACATTTAGAGTAGCATAATGAGAATTTCAAAGACCATGAGCCAAATTGCCACTACAATAGGGGAAAGAGAAAGAAGTACAACAACCACTCGTATATTAATATACTAAAAGTGCTGAGAATTCAATATCAACTTCTTTAGAATTATATCGACAGATAACATAGAACAAACAAGTAACAAACCAGCGTTTACTACCTCTATATCAATTGAAATTCATGAGAATATCATTATTAGTTTCACCAATATTATACCAAAGTTTTCATTGGATATATTCAATTTATCATTCCTTTGCTATAGTAGAAGGAGGAGGAGAATGAGTGGGAGAAAGAGGAGAAGGAGATGGACAAGGAGAAGAAGAAGAATAAAAAAGAAGGATAAGATGCAGTAAGAGAAGGAGAAGAAGAAGCAGAGGAGGAGAAAAAGAAGAAAGAGATGGAGAAGGAGGAGGAAAGGAAGAAAGAAAATGAAGAAGAAAAAGGAGGAGAAGAAGAAGAAGAATAAGAAATGGAGGAGAAAGAAGGAGAAGAAGCAGAAGCCGAATAAGGAGGAGGAAAAGGAAAAATTGGAGGAGGAGGAGGAGGGAACCTCACCTACACATCATGCCAAAGTAACGGGTAACACAAAACCTCAAAAATCTAAGAGATTGAAAGCATGGTATGTCCTCTGATTATACCTAGCACGATGCACAAAGAAATGTTAGCCAAAATTTAATCAAATCAACAAAGTTGGGATGTGATACATTGCACTATCGTATTTGAGTAAGCAAAAATGTATAGGACATACCTTTGGATCTCACCAACACTAGCATGCTCCAAATAAAATGCGCCCATTTCCTTCCTGAAAAAGGTGGACAAGATTCATTGGTCTCTTTGGTAGTAGAAAAATGAGATGCAGATTCAAGATTGAGGATGACATATTGAAGTGAGAGACCTAATACGAAGGAGAATATAAATGCCAACTCTTCGCTCATTACAAAATATAAGCATAAAAAGAATATTAGTCAAGCAATATATATATTATATATATATAGCAGACATGCATCATGTAATCAAAAATGATAGTAAGGCTCATTTAATTCATCATAATAACATTGATAAATGAGAGAGAGCAGCAGGATAACTTGCACTTTATCACGAATTAAGTGTCACGGGCAGAAGAGAAGACATACTAAGGTATAAGTTTAAGAGAGTTTTTTAATGCATTTTGAAAAGAATGTATTTCCAAAACAGCCACAAAGGTGTGTGCATCAATACTTTAAGCAAAGAGATCGATGGTTCAATTTTGCTAAAGTTAAATGTACATCGATGGTTCAATTTTGCTAAAGTTCCGAAGAAGTTAAGCAAAGAGATCCTCTATTAGTCTGGAAACCTCATGTCACTGGTGAAGAAGTAGAAAAGCAAACGCAGAAAGTTACACAATTGAGCACATATGGTGAAAGAAAACCATTACAGGGCAGTTATTACAAAGACTATTAAAGAGAGATTTCCAATTTTGTAGGGACAAAGAAAGATATGGTGTGTTTCCTTAACTTGAAAAGAGAAATTCTAGAAACTAAGTGAATAGTACTTCTAAACATTGAGATAGATTGTAACTACAACAAGAAAAAGAGAAAAATGAGAAGCACGGGTACGTCAATATATCAAAGGAGTCAAAAAGACGTGAATGCAATATCAACAACTTCGTGAGAATTGTGTAGAAATATATAATAAAACAAACAAGTAACAATAACCAGCTTTTACTTGCCTTGACATCAACCGAAATTTCAGCAAGCCGCATTGCAATAGCATAGGACTCCGCGTATATATCAAGATAAGATGCACAAATACTATATTATTAGAAGTGACCATGCCACCAATAGGGAACAATAATTGTAATGAATAGGGAACAATAACTATAATGAATTAAATAGAAAGGGCCATGCCAACACGTTAGGAAAGAAAGAAAATCATAAAGAAATAGAAAAAGGGAACATACAATTCCATGTTGCCTCTAATTATAATAACAACAAAGAACAATATAGCATTGCCTTGCTCCTATTCCGGTCAACCTGAAGTCCAGTGACACCTTATTTCCTAATGTGAACTACCCAAATATCCAAACCCCACTAGATTAAACAACACCCCAAATATTTCGTTATTTCTACTTGATAATTCAAAATCTTAGTTTGAATATTTGTTACTTGGCACCATGTGAATCTATTTGATACTTCAAGAATTTGAGCTATTGTTCTCGCTACGTGGTTCGACATGTGAGATTTCTTTTATGAGGGACTCTCGGTGTAAAGCATGTATGCAAAATATTTGTTGTTTTGCTTCAATGAAAATAACTCAAACCTTAAAAAAACTAACAACTAATTGTTGTTTGATTTGTATGTAAAAATATTTGATATTAAAAGAACATTGTGTTGTTCCTTTGGGTGGAATCATTTGTCAGCTTTGTATCATGATTCAAGGTCGCGGTATCGGCCCTTGACTCCGAGGCCTCTAAGACAAATCAGTGACAACGTTGCATCTTGGTATCGGCTGATACGCTATATAGAAGGTTTAAAATTTTTTAAAAAAATTAGAAAAAATTGTAATAAATGTAAACATTATCATCCATGCATCATATCCTCAAAATGAATTATTTAACACAGTAGCCCTTGTAAAAAATAATAATAAGAGCGCTACCAGAAAATATTTGTTATCGTCTATGTTCAATGTAAGCATTTAAGACCGTACTAAAATGTATATTAAAAAGAATTATTTAAAAATGTATATTTTATTATAAATTTTTTTTCCATTTAATCATTTAATGTATATCTAACTACAACTTGTATGCATTTTCTCCATTATGTACATGTAAATATTAAATAAACTATTACACATAAAAAGGAAAAAACTTAATAAATTAAGTTGTAATTATATTATGTGATGAATAATAAAAATTATGTAATTATAATTTGACCAAAAACCCACAATGGATATTAGTTTGAATTGGAATAATTGGGAATTAAAAACAAAAAAAAACTTAAAATCGACACGTTAGTTCAGTCGGTTTGATTGGTTGACTGTTTCAGAGAGAGAGTGGGACTGAACGGAAAAAAGGGGCAAAACCAAAAGAAAAGGGGGGGCTTATTTATGTCTACTCACACAATTGATAGTCTTAAGTATTTGACTGAGAGAGAGAAAGACTGGGGTCTAGATCTGGAACGATAGTTTTGCACAACAAGAGATGGAGTGTTGCTACCTGCTACTTCTAGGGCTTTGGTCTAGATCTGGAACGCAGCTATTGTTAGTTTGGTTGGGCTTCTACGATGAGGAAGAAGAAGATAAAATGGGTTTCTACTTCTGCGATGCTTTTCATATATGTGTTATTTGCTAGTTCTTCATCTGTTTATGTAAAAAGAAAAAGCAGAAAACGGGGGTTTGATCTAGGGTTCACTCTCTGCCTACGCAAAGTCACAAAATGGGTGTTTGTAGAATGTGGGTCAATCTTCTTTGACATCTTCTTTGCCTTTTTGCTTGGTATGTTTTTGCTGTTGTTGGGTTCTTTAACCTTTGTGGGATGATTGTGGGTTGAATCGGTTTGAATCAGTTCGAATTGATGATTCACCAAAGTTATACCGAGTTGGGTCGATACGTAACTGATTCAAACTCGACTTGGTTTTCTATAACAGGTATCCGGTAGTGG